CGGTGTGCGGCTCCTTCTACCGCGAGCCCATCATCCTGCCCTGCTCGCACAACCTGTGCCAGGCCTGCGCCCGCAACATCCTGGTGCAGACCCCCGAGGCCGAGTCCCCGCAGAGCCGCCGCGCCTCGGGCTCCGGGGTCTCCGACTACGACTACCTGGACCTGGACAAAATGAGCCTGTACAGCGAGGCGGACAGCGGCTACGGCTCCTACGGCGGCTTCGCCAGCGCGCCCACCACGCCGTGCCAGAAGTCGCCCAACGGCGTGCGGGTCTTCCCGCCGGCCGTGCCCCCGCCGCCCCACCTGCCGCCGGCCGCCACGCTGGCCCCCGTGCCCCGCAACGCCTGCATCACCTGCCCGCAGTGCCACCGCAGCCTCATCCTGGACGAGCGGGGGCTGCGCGGCTTCCCCAAGAACCGGGTGCTGGAGGGCGTCATCGACCGCTACCAGCAGAGCAAGGCGGCCGCGCTGCGCTGCCAGCTGTGCGAGAAGGCGCCCAAGGAGGCCACGGTGATGTGCGAGCAGTGCGACGTCTTCTACTGCGATCCCTGCAGGCTGAGGTGCCACCCGCCCCGGGGCCCCCTCGCTAAACACCGCCTGGTGCCGCCAGCCCAGGGCCGGGTGAGTAGGAGGCTGAGCCCCCGCAAGATCTCCACCTGCACGGATCACGAGCTGGAGAACCACAGCATGTACTGCGTGCAGTGCAAGATGCCCGTGTGCTACCAGTGCCTGGAGGAGGGCAAGCACTCCAGCCACGAGGTCAAGGCCCTGGGCGCCATGTGGAAGCTGCACAAGGTGAGAGCCCTGCCCTGCCCGGCCGCGGGGGGCTCGGTGCGTGGCAGGCCCCTGAGGGCCAAACCCTGCGCTTCGGGGTCCGCCCTAGGGGTCTGCCACTCGATGCGGTCCCGTGCCCTCGCCCTGGCTGCGCACCTGATGCTCTCCCTGCCTTGCAACGGGGGACGGCTCCATGGGGGCACGGCCCCACGTGCCCGTGTTGGGGAAGGGGTGCCCCGGCGTTCCCCGTCCATCTTTCCCCCCTGCCTGGCGTGCGGCCCCGGGGCTGGACCGGGAAAGCAGCAGGGAGGGATAGGCCTGCCAAGGGCCCCCGCAATCGGGGGGAGAGCCTGCCCCGGGGACCGCTGCGTCTCCTGGGCGAGCGTAGGAGGGGGCAGGCAGAGCCAGGGCTGCCCGCTTGGCTGCGCGCAGATCCGCCGCAGGGCAGCATCTCCCCCTGCTTCATGCGTCCCCCCCTCCGGTAAGCCGGGTCTGTGTGGTGTGCGGCTGACCCCGCCTGAGGTAACTGGGGCAGAAATGACAGGGACGCAGAGAGACGTGGTGCGGATGCCCTGGGAGCCCCCGCGCAGCGTGTGGGAGAGCTGCCCCGGCCCCTCGGGAAACGCTTTCCAGGAACGCTGCCGTCCCGGCGTGTCGCATGCGGAGGCGTGGAGGCAAAGAGCCCCAGGGTGAAGCACACGCATGGGCAGCGCACGGGGTGGCGGGGGGGGGAGGGTAAGGGGGTGCTTCTGACAGCCCTCGGGGCTGCCCCTGCAGGGGCCGTGCCCCAGCGGCTCTGGGAGCGCGGCCTTCCTGAGAGCCTGCCGTGAGGGGAGGGAGTGCGTGTGTGTGTGCGAGTGTGAACTCTGTGTGCATCCATGTGCATGTGTGACCCCTGTGTGAGTGCGTGTGTATGTCTTCCTTGCATGCGTGCATATGTGTGTGTTTATGCATGCATGTGTGTGTGTCTCCACGTGCATGTGTTTGTCCTCCGTGTGTGTGTGTGTCCTCCGGGTGGTTGTGTATGTCCCCCGTGTGTGTGTCCTCTGTGTGTGTGCACGTTTGTCTTCCATGAGCATGTGTGTTGCATGTGTGTTTTCTGTGTATGTGTCCCCTGTGTCCTCCGTGAGTGTGCATGTGTTTGTCTTGCATGTGTGTGTTTCTCCTCCATGTGTGCGTGTCCTCCATGTGTGCATGCATGTGTGTCCTCCATGTATTTGTTTGTGTCCTCCACGTGTACGTGTCCTCTGCGTGGGTGGGAGGGGGGTGTGCGCATGTGTTTGTCTTTTGTGTGTGTTTTGTCCTTCATGTGTGCATGTCATCTGTGTGTGCATGCATGTGTGTCCTCCACGTGTATGTGTCCTCTGCGTGGGTGTGTGCATGTCCTCCCACGGCCCGATGAACAGGCTCCCCTCTAATGACGCTCCAGTGCACGTCCTCATCTGCCCGGTGACACCAGCCACCCCCGGGTGTTGGGGCCTCCCTGGCTTTTCTCGCGGGGCCAGGAACAAGTGTGTTTCGCACGGACGGGGGTATTCAGTTATTGCGTTACACTGAGCCGCGCATCTCCAGCTCCTGCCCCTCCGTACAGCCTTGCAGTCCAGGGATGGAGGTGGATGCGGACCCTGGGGAGCTGCCTCCCAAACACGTATCGCATCACAGGCAAGCAGTGACTTCACACGGTTTGGCTATGAGTCTATCCAATTTAACCCCTTCCCTTCTTGGTGGTGTTAGGGCTCAGTCCAGCTGAGCTCTTTAATTAAGTGCGTGCATAACGTTAAGCCTTTGAAGAAGCTTCGTTAGCTATAAGAGGCCTGTGCCTGCAGTTAAGCCCATGCTAAAGAGGGGGCCTTAGTCCTTTTAATGACTATGGAGAGTCCTAGGCCGACCCTTTCATGAGTGAATTTTAACTCAGCTGCTCTTCGGAAATGAAGCTCTGTTGGAGGCCTTCGATGTCACCGGAGGTGATCACTTCTCTTGCACGTCTTAGCTTCCTGAGCCAGGTTTCCAAACGTTTGGTCCGGTCGTGCTTTCTCCTGAGTCACCCTGCTGTTTGGCTCGTGCATAGGCCGGAGATGCCAGGCTTGTTGCTACTCCCTGCTGGGTAGCTGCTAGGGCAGGAGAGCGAGTCTTGTAAATGCAATAGGATTGAGTCCTCGAATCTGGGAGTGGGCAGCCAGAGCATGGGGCAGGCTCTTGGGGAGTGTATGTGTTGCGAATAAAGAGCATCAGCCATTGGCGCTTAAAGGCACCATCCTGCAACGGGCCTGGGTAGATGAGCCCTCAAATGCCTTTCAGGTGCTGAGTCTTTGTGCTTCTGCACTACCCAGGGGGGTCTTCAGCCTGTCGCAGAAAGAGACCCTGCAAATCAAACAGGACTGGCTGAAAAAGGCTAATGTAAAAGACAGAGGGAATGTCGTTCTCATCCGTCTGGTCATCGTGCTGTGGTCGAGGTGGGCTCTTGGCTCTAATGCACCTCTGAAGCGTGCAAGAGGGCGTGACAAAGTTCGGGCCGTGCTCTGCAGACCAACAGTGGAAATATGTAGTGGCAACAAGTAGCGTCTCTATTTCTACTATGAGAAGGACCCGGTCCTCGGCTAAACCTGCGCTGAGCTGAGAACGCCTTGATGAGTTGTTCTTGAAAGCAGTATTCATATATCAAGTTATGACGGCCCAACGCCACGGCTGTTAAATACAGTGTGCTTTACTTGGGGAAGAGATCAATCACCTCTCCCTAGAGAGCTCTTTAACAAGCGACCCGCTTCTTCGCTATGCGGTGAGGCTGTGCCGCCGGTGCCGTTCTCACAGCTGAGAATTGCAGATTCAAACGTGTATATTTCAGAGCACGCTGATTTTGCAAATGGACCCGGATAACAAGATAAGACCTTTTCTGTGTGGCCTTGCCTTCCAGCACAGCTATTGACATGGTATGGGACCAAGAGGAAAGTGGATGGATCATCTGAAACGCCCTCCTTTTCATAATATATACATCCCTGCTCTCTGGAGTTTTCCTTTTATGCAGACGAGCTTTAGTCCTCTTGCATTCAAAGGCACATGGGGCCAAACTTTGTCTTTCTTGCAATATTCCCAGTGCCGCTTTCTCTCTCACAAGGAAGTTTGCATGTGTAATGAGTACAGGGTGAGTCCGGCTAATAGAAGGGCTCCCCTAGGTCACTTAAGTTCATTATGGTGCTACTACAGGCAACTGCGTTATCATTTAGAAACCAAGGACGCTCCACCATAAAGTGAGGTAGGGTATTGGCTGCTTCTGGGGCAAAGGAAAAGTTGTTTCAGAGCCTTGCTTCTCCAGTTAGAAACCTTTCTTGTTCTCCACGTTTAGAAGTTGTCCTGATTAACCACTGAAACTCCAATAGCTTGGTTATTTCTGTCCATCTCCAGGTTTTAAGCTGCTCATGACTTGAATATCTGAGGGTCTTCTAAGTACGAGCAATAGCAATAATGAAGTCCCTGCTAGGCATCGTGGGGGCTCTGCCGTGCTTGGTTCTGTACCCACGGAGGGATTCAGTTACCTGGCAAAACATACCAGTAAGTGCTAGGAGACATAATAGGGATATTTGATGGGCCATGTTGGCATCTAATCCCTCCATGATGGAGCATTTGGAAACATTTGGGCACGTGCAGTATTTGGGGATTCTTGGCAATGAAAATGGTTTGGGGGCTGGGGCACATGACTAATGAGGAGCAG